CCCCCCCCTCTCTCGACCGATCTTCGTCTCGAGAAGCATGCGTGAAGGGGTTAAGGGTCGGAATATGGCGAGCGAGCTTGCGGAATCTTTCTCGCCATTACGCGTCGCACGTGTTTCACTCGCTAGCGAAGGAGACTGCATCGTTGCTGCTCTTTCCGGAAGCTTTGTTTCTCGGAAATGCAACAACGGGCAACTCCCGCGTTGCGAACAATACTAGGGAGGCACGCGTGTACTTGGGTCGATCGATGCTGCCCGAGCTCGGAGCACATGCACGACCGACTTTGTCTGGCACGAAAGGCAGGCATGTGTGCCGCTCTGTCATGCTTCTGACGTTTTAGCGAAGCTTCGACCGATAGGCGATTTTATTAGCTTATTCGAGTATGCGAGTCACATGTTCCCTTTCAATATTTTATACGTGATGTATATAAAGGATTTAATATCGTATACAGGGTGTTTTGTATATATATATTGTCGTAAACTCGTTAAATGTTCTTTCAAGTCTGGAATATGAAGTGCTCTATATAGTTTAGCATGCTTTTACTATCGTTCGCGATCATTAATTGGCGAGACGCACCTTGATCTATTTTTAAAATTGATCTACCCTTCGCGTTTGTAGATCTAATCGAGATGTTCATAAGATTTCATCAAGATGTGTACCTATTAATAAGCTTTTCTCTTTGTCCGACACATTTGATTTAGAATAATTCTTTAAACATGTGTAACAAAAAGTATTCAATATATCAATATTCTCATTAATAGAAAATACATTTCAAGTTTCTTTAAGACGTTAAAACAATAGTTGCGCGATAGTTTTATTGTCGTAAATATTGATACACAATTAAACGTTTATAACGTTATAGTTTTACTGTAATTCTTTGAGGGTATTCTAAGAGAATTCTGGATTCGCGGAATGAATACTCAACGGGGAATTTAAAGAATGCTGGCGCGGAACACCTGATTGAAAAACCCGTTCTGTTCCATTAACGCGTGCCTTGCCCCGCGATTGTGTGCTGTCTCGCAGTGCATCGCTATATTTGCGCCTTTAAACGGCCGTGCAGCAGCAACATATGAGAGACTATAGAGCCCGATCGGCCTCTTTGTTGTAGCAGCTTCAAAACGCTTATCGGACTATGAATAGACGCGCTGATTTTCTTTCAGCTGCTCGCTCGCCACGAGTCGATCTAGTCTACATTTGCGTTAACGCACATCAATGAATGCGACGTTTGTAATTCTAAATTCTTTCTTCGCGCGCGCGCGTGCCCTCGCCTTGATCTTTACGGTTTTCGAACCGCAAATTCTCCGATTCATTCCACGATCATTGTCATATGTCTTCTTCATGCCTGCGATCGTCCAATTAAAATATTTACAAATTCAGTCTTTTCATATAATTTATTCTAAACTTTATTCTCGATATTGTTATTCGCGAAGAAATTAGATTTCGTTATTGTTACACTGCAATTATTGCAGTTGCAATTATTTCGCGGAGATATTGCAAAGGTGTGAAAGTTGTATTGATTTTCCGCGAGCTCGTTTGCGAATTTCCTATATGTGTTCTTGTTTATTCGACGTGTGACGGTATCCTTCGTTGTGTATGCGACACATGTGATGCATTGTTATCCTAAATCAGGCTTCAAAATCCTCAATATTTCCGTATTCGGAATTGGCTTCTTTCTGTACATCGCTAGGTACGCCATAAGTTGCTGAAATGGCAAGAACATACCTCGCAGGGTCTCCTCAGTCGAAATTTAAGAATGCTCCTATACCGCATGTTACCAACATGTATTCGATTGTAAGACGGAAGATAGAAAGATGCTTGTCAATATGAAAAAACCGCGATCACGCGGTTTTTTCGTTCCTTCTACTCGAGTAGTCGGCCACTCGCTTTACTTGACGTGCACTCCACTGATAAGTATACAGATTGTACATTTGTCGGATTTTATATCTTTTATTTTATATCCTCTCTTTCCATTCGCACTTGATTCATGTTTAGGTGCTTTGATATTGAACTTCCATATTGCATTTCCCAAGCAAAGTCATGAGATTTGTTTCATCGTAGTTTCGTTGCAATGTTGAATTGTCGAGCCATTAAGAAGTTACGACAAAACGCGTCAAGTGACGTGCGCTTATCTTACTCGTTATCTCTCGTTGAAAAAGTTGAGCAAGCGACTCGTTACGTGTTTCCTTATTACTTTCGGAGACAACGCTCGAGCAGCAATTTGCTCACTTGTCTCTTGTTACCTTTGTCGCAATGATTGAATGCAACCTGATATTAATCTTCTTACCAATTTTTGGAGACGAGTCAAGTAATCAGGTTACCTTCTCGCTTATCTCTTTGCATTATCTTTTTGTCGCGAAAAGTGTAAGCACGAGTGACTCAACTGTTCTGCTTATCTTTGCTTCGTAATGTTGAATTAATACAACGCTAAAAATTCGAATAACGCAATTATGTTTTATATCAACTTCTTCAGTAATATTTTTTCATCAAAATTATCTCACGTTTCTACCTGTTTGATTTTCGATGAACGATTTTGTTAGACAATTAGAAACTCATCTGCCTGCTGTTTTCTATCTTTTTTATTTATTTGTTTAATTTGATTCGTCTCCCTGTTGGTTTCCTGTGAAACTGTGACAATCCTGAGTAGCCGTCACTGCGCATCAGTGACGTGTCACGAGGAAACAGAAAGTAATGGTACTCGGAAAAGGAAGGCGGCAAACAGGAGGAAGCTTGCTCGCTTGCTTGCTTGCTTGCTTGCTTGCTTGCTGGCTTGCTGGCTTGCTCGCTTGCTTTGCGTCACTCCATTGCTATCTCTTTGTGCGCCGTCGTCATCCACCTTGTGCATGACGATTTCTCCTCAAGGATCTCGACGGCGTCACGTTGCGACTGGCCGATAAAGCGACGATGCGTGTGCCGTCGATCAAACAATCCACGCGCTGTTTTTCGATCTTTCTCGAGAGGTCGACCACTTCTCAGAATGATACGAAGCCTCCTCTCAGACATCTGAAAAAACAAGACACGTCTTATAAATCTTCTTGTTTAGTTGTTATTATTCGTCAATTTATAAATTTATTCATGAACTGACGTTGTAACTTTGGTATTGATTCGCCTTTATTATTTATCAAGTCTTTTAATTGGTGATTTACTTATTTTATTTTAATTTTATGTTAATTGTATTATACTCAGATTAATTGGTTTTTGTTTGTAGAGCATACTGAAAAAAACAGCTAAGGACGCTATGAGTAAAAGTAAATAATTATTACGTTATATTGGGATATATAATCTCATTGCAGATTTACGAAGTCGCCGGCGGAGTTAATTAAGAAATCAATTTCGTTTTATCAATCCTGTGGAACTAATTCTTGGCGATATTAATCTATCCAATACAGTAAATTAACTCCAGCGCAAACAGATCGGAAACAAGGAAGGCTTGTGCCCGCAAAATTGTACGATTATTCATACCATGGAAATACCGCGATGAGACGATGCGATGATAAGAGTGTCTTGTTCGCAACGTGGACGTACTTTCGCGTCTCTGCATTTCGCCATTTATAGAAGTTTAGGTATTAACATGAAATTATCGGAGAATACCTCGTTTATTTCAAAACGATCGATGAAAATTATTCGCTCCAATAACTAGAAAATATTATTTGCCGTTAAAATTATTATTTTTCAGCGTTTTTTTTTCCTCCCAATGCCAGATGTGAGTTTTCTAGTTGTAGAGCCTCGATGTTGGAACATTCGTCGGGACATAACGTTGCAGCCGGCATTGGCGGTTGACTAAACAAGTAAACGATGTTAATTCGTTGTCTGGTGCTGCACCTCAAGGATACGCGGGCGAAATCTTTTTTCGGATCAGCGGAATAGCTAAATAACGGGAACCGCCGGTAGCCGTAAATATGCGCTCGGAAATAGTATTTGCCAAGAACGAAGAAGCCACTAACGTGTACGGAAATGTGAGAGAGAAAGAGATAAAGGCCATCTCTTCGAATGCGTGTCTCCATAATGCGCATCATTGGTCTCTTCAATTTAATTATCTCGCGAATTCCGACACGTGCGCGCTCGTGTAATCCTGATCTCGCGGATTGTATAGCGATATCTTAACCGCAGTGTTTTTGCTGCGTGGATTTTTTTCCGCGATAAATTCTAACCGCCACTAGTCCGTGTTAATTATTTTTGCGCGTCACGATTTAATACACAGGACGTTTAAAGCGTGACAAATGCGTGCCTTCAACTATACCGATATAAAAGAAATGTATATCTCGGATAAAAGCTCGGAGAAGAGAGTCGGTTCCTTCTGAAAGCGCAGTTGAGCACGTAAATCGCGATTCTTAAAGTCACAAGCTTTTTTTTATGAATATATCGAATGGAAACACCCTATATATATATACTGTATCACGTGACGAATTCGTGTTGCCACGAGGTCTTCACAAACTTCACAAAGTTCGTTGTTAGTCGTAAAGCAACTTTTCGCATTGCATTAGCGATCCACGACCTTTGAAAATTGTTGCGATCTTCATTCAGATAGCTCCCGCGTTTGGAAACTTTGCTCCAACGGACCAATTTTGACGGATTGATTTCTTTTTCTCTCTCTCTTTTTCTCTTCCTTTTCCTTGCGATTCTAAGCTCGCACTGCTCGTTCATAGTTGCGTCCATGAGAGACCGGATATTATGATTGCGCATTTAGCGGCAACATACGGTCCGTCAAGTTGAAATCAAATGTTTAGAGAATGCTATTTTAGCAAAACCTAGCCTTGTGTTTTCATTATATGTTTAACGCTAACATGGAAGCTGATTTTTCTCTTGTAACTCTTACGTTGAATATTGTTAGGCGAGTAAACTTTACGTTAAATTGCACGTGATAGCTACGTAATGTAACAAAACTCTAACACGAATCAACGAAATTGAGTTGCACAAGTTAGAAGTTTCAGCTTGATTTTTTCATGAAATATGGGTTTTCGACTAAACCAAGATACGTAGCAAACTGTAACAAGTACAATCTTTTATAGAAAAGTTAATTACTGAAGATGAAGTAGTTACAATTCGTTGAAAAGCTCGTAATTCTCCTGTGAAGAATTGCACTTGTTAGAGGCACTAATTAGGCAGTATATCTTTGAGCAAAAAGTAACATTGCTTATTCTTGTATCAAGTCACAGAATTATATTATTTATAGCCATTAACCCACGCAAACGGGCACTTCTCGCTCTTCTTCTCTAGTCGAGTCATTCAGGACACCCGGTAGAGGCGGCTGGACGGGCACGACCTCCGTCGAGCAGCCCGACGAAGTCGTCCGACCTCGGCCGAGCGACGACGAGGTCCGCGAGATGATCGGTCGCAGCGAAACGGGTGGGGAAGTTAGGAGAGAAGAGGGTTCGTTGACCGTCTGACCATGAGCCGCGCCCCACATACACTCCCCTTCCACGTTGCTCCCCTCGCCAACAGGCGTTTCGGTTGTTTTGTTCTCGAGCAGCGAGCGAGATCAAAGCCGTCTTCTTAGCCGAGGAGAAGGTCCTTGCCTCGTCCGCGAAGGCTTCACGAGGCAGCACACACACACACACACACACACACACACACACACAGGGTGTCCTCAAACCATTGGATATATCTCTTTAATCGCAGTGTTTCTTCAAATCGCCACTCTGGGGGCGATTTTTCTTAGCCCCCGAAAGGCCATCTTTTCTGCCATGTGATTTGCAATTTGGTAGGCTCGCATTTTTCTCAAAGATGATCGTACCTTTCCACTTGCATTATTGCCGTCGGCAATGACTGGTCGGTTTTGATTCGCGAAATGTGTCGCTCCGTCATGATTCTCTATCCTTGAGTCACTTGACTCTCGAGTACGTTAACCGTAGGATTCGCGTGCGCCATTTATTAAGCGTGCGTATAGAACCTTCTCTAAAATTGCACTCTTGCATGCGCCAATTACCATTGTAAGCGATATATGTGGGTCACGGTAGCGAATGAAAGGAATGTCCTCGAATATTATTGAACGAGTTCATTGCAACGGTACGCCGCCACTGGCCAAAGTGATGGGTCGCAATCGCTCTTATCTCTTTTGCTGAAGAAAAAAAATAGGCTATTCCAAGGCTGCATATTTCAGATTATGCTTCAAACTGCGCACTTCGAGTAGACTAATTTAGATAATGAAGGTTTCACACTGTGTAAGCAAACTTGTCAACGTTTGCAAAGATTATTTCACATACAATATATGTGAAAGCGATATTTGTCGAAGAGAAGCTTTGAAAAATTTAATAATATTTAAGTTCCAGAGTACAATTTTATATTTTATGTTACATGTTTGATTTATATTTATTTATTAGAACGCACATTGGAAAGAAATTACAAGTCATGTTTGTAGTCTCAAGTGCGTGCAAAATGTTGAATTTAACGTTGAACGTGATTCTTTTTCAGCTTCCTCAAGGAAGATCTGTGTGCTGTGATTTATCACTAAGGGGGCCAAAACACGCGCAACAACGGACAACCCCACAGGACCGGGGGGTGCTTCTCGTGTCTCGGGAGGAAGGTCAGGGTTCACAAAGTTACCTTGGCAGTAACGAAAAATAAAAAAATAAAAAAAAGTAAGAAAACGCATTGAACGCGTTACTTATTAACAAGCCGCACAAATCGCCCTTGTGTTGCGTTGCTACTTGTGACACTGACGTTAGAAAAATTCGATGCCTTCCAGGGACGATATACGCTCCCTATCCACTGAGCAACGCTGGATCCCTCCTTCAACTGTTAGACGCGATGCACTCACCCCAGAAAGCCGAAATGATCTCATCTTTAGAAAGGTGCGGGGTATTCTTAACAAGCTCACACCGGAAAAGTTCGCAAAGCTGAGCAACGACCTGCTCAACGTTGAGCTTAATTCTCATGTGATTCTCAAGGGTGTTATTTTCTTGGTGCGTATAACAACACTATTGCGTCACAGCACGATACATATATATATAGAAATATTGGTCGGTAAGATGCTACGATTGAATAAAATGTGAATTTTGGAATTGTTTCAGATCTTCGAAAAAGCACTTGATGAACCCAAGTACAGTTCTATGTACGCACGGCTGTGCAAACAGCTGTCTGACGAAGCCGGAAACTTTGAACCCCGTAAACCGATCGATGAAAGTCAAAAAGGCCAGAGTACATTCAAAGTTCTTTTACTTAACAAGTGCAAAGACGAGTTCGAAAATCGTTCAAAAGCAAGCGAGGCATTCGAAAATCAGGATGAGCTCGGTCCGGAGGAAGAAGAGCGCCGGCAGGTGGCCAAGCGCAAGATGCTTGGTAACATCAAATTCATCGGAGAGCTCGGCAAACTGGGCATCGTGTCGGAGACGATTTTACATCGTTGCATCCAGCAGTTGTTGGAGAAGAAAAGGCGAGGGAGATCCCGGGGGGACGCGGCGGAGGATATCGAGTGCCTCTGCCAGATTATGCGTACCTGCGGCCGTATCCTTGACTCGGATAAGGGCCGCGGACTCATGGATCAATATTTCAAACGTATGAACTCTCTGGCGGAGAGTAGGGATCTTCCTCTACGCATCAAATTCATGCTGCGTGATGTGATTGAATTACGCCGTGACGATTGGAAACCGCGCAAGGCCACCAGCACCGAAGGCCCGATGCCGATTAATCAGATTCGCAATGACAACGAGGAGCCATCGCGGGGGAATGGTTTCCACAGAGGACGGGACGATCGCCTCGGTCCCTCGGAGTTTTTACGAAAGATGGGACGAGGCGGATTAGACGTGGATATGATGGGAAGTATTCCATTGACTTCCCCCTCATTCGGTATGCCACCACCACCATTCAGTCCGAATGGATTCGCAGGGACTCCTGGGGTTGGTTATGGCCGTCATAACCAACGTAATCAGCCGGGAGGAGGCTACTATCAAAACCAGAATCGTCATCAGAACAATTACGAAGGAAAACGCAACCAACCGCAACACAATTTACCGCAGAACTTCAACAATAGTGAGTATCGTCAAATTAATCGAATAACTTTTCTTCGATCGATTCTGGTGATCAACAACACTCGTGACTTTGACTCGAATCTTATTAACGATTGTTTTATCCGTTGCAGATAGCAATAAAGAGCAACTGCGATTCAATAAGAATAAAATGCTGATCGGAGGACATCCGGAAGAAGTGTCTCTCAGACCCTCAGCCAATTCAATGATGTTCAAACAAACCAACATCAACTTGAACTTACCTCTCAACAATGGTGAGTGCTTTTGTCATCTTTTTGTTGGCGCGAAAAATCACACTGGTAATCTAATCGTAAGAGTAACAGATTTGTTCCCAGGACGAGGCTCAGACTTGCCTCTCTTGCGTACTACCGCTCTGAAGCCGAGCTCGCCGCTACTGCACAAAGAGACGCCGCCTGCCATCGTGATTAAGCAAGGTCCCGTGGACAAACGGGAGAAGGCTCGGGACAGAAAGGACAAGGGACCCACACGGGAGGAAGTGTTGAAGAAAGTGAACGCCTTAATGGACGACCTCGCGTCTCACACGAATGTGCAGGATGCTCTGACAGCATTCAAAGATCTTAAAATACCCGAGCGATTCTTACGTCACGCGATCTGCACGCTGTATTCGAACACGCTCGATCGCGGAGATTCCGAGCGCGAGCTCGCCGCCAAGCTCGTGACCGACCTGAAGAAGGAGAACCTGCTCACTCTGCAGCAAGTGAACGAGGGATGGAAGGAGTTGGTGGCCAGTATATCGGAGAAAGAGAGTACCGTGCCTTTGGTAGCGTCCCACGTTGCCTTCTTGACAGCTAAGGCCATAGTGGACAATCTGATCCAGTTGACGGATCTCGCCTCGGAAACGGAAAATGGCCGTCATCATCCGCTGTTCCTGCTCACTCTGCAGCAGCTCCACAAGACCCAGGGCAAGGCAAGACTCACGCAGATCTTCAACGACAGCAAAGTCGATCTTATCAGTCAACTGCCAGAAGCGGAGAAGACAAAGGAGCGTTTGGGTGAAATTTTGGAAGATCGGGAATTGACTTTCCTTTATCCTCTCCTTAGAATCCAGGGAGACATGTGGCGTCAATTGGAAGCCGATCCGTCGCCTAACGCTCTTTTCAAGTGGATTAGGGAGAAGCTGGATCACAAACACCATTCTGATCCCGCATTCATTAATGCTATGATGAACGTGCTCTTCAAGTACATCACTGGGGTAAGTAAAGTTTCCCAAATATTCTTATTTTTCCTGTCACTTCTCTCTATCTTGAATAATAAACGATAATTGCCAACTTTTTAACTGCCTATTCGTATGATCGTTTAGGAGCGAATCATTTACAATATATACAATATATGTAGGATTGACTTTGCAATGCTTTTTCTTTCGGTGGCGTGACAGGAGACAACATTAGCGCCCGGCGTTGATCCAACCGTAAACCCAGACAAACAACTGCAGGAAAAGGAAAGTGCGTTACTGCAGAAATATGCAGGAGTAATTCACAATTTCCTGACTACCATCGACTCGCAAGTTACGGCTCTTCATGCGCTTCAAGTGTTCTGCTTCTCGCACAATTTTCCAAAAGGGCTGCTGCTGCGATGGTTCATAGCACTTTATAACCTTGAAGTCATCGAGGAGGAAGCCTACCACAAGTGGAGAGACACCGTTACTGATGCTTACCCAGGCAAGGGCAAGGCATTATTCCAGGTAAATATACATTATAATCATTTTTTGTAAACCATTTTTTGAATGAAAAGGATTTCTTTTATGATAATCACACACACACACTTTTTCTCAAGGTGAACATTAAATTGAAAGTGAATTTAATATAATCTACAGCATTTAGCGTATACTTGTCAATTCTCATCTGTAATTCTTCGTTCACTATTTAATGAAATAATTTCTTTCATAATTCAAGTTACGTGAAAATTAATGCGAGCGCATTTTTCTCGTGTACAGGTAAATTCATGGTTAACATGGCTTGCCGAAGCATCAGAAGAAGAGGAGGAAGACGACGAGGATGAGAAGAATTAATCGCAAGAGCCTCGAGAGCATTATTCAGACTACCTATGGTTTGGAATAGGGTTTTACTATCTATATCGCTGAACCACAGGAGGTTTCAGTTTTACTAATTGAGTTATCTCCATCCAGAGTTGCAAACATCTTGTTAGTCTGTCTCAAGCTCTCTCGCGTGAAGAAAAGGACTTTAAAATCATGTCTGAAGGGAATGCGAATAGTTTGTAGCTGTTGAGTGGTAAACGACAGACATTTCAAGCAAGAAGTTTTAGAATTTTTTTAGATAATTAAATATCGGTATAATTTATAAAATAATATTGGGCCAGCTTGATATATATCAAGTACTACGCCGCGTTGTATTATTTGGCGCGGAAATTGAAAGGAAAAAAAAAGCAAATTAATCTGGTCATTTTGTGTTGTCCGAGTTTTTGTCTAGTATTGTGCATGTGTCACGTTTTGTAAGTCAATTTTTGTCCGCGGCAATAAGTGGAATCGTTTGTTATCTCTGTGTACCAAGCATTACAATTTATTATGAAGAATTATTATTACTATGATTATTACTGATTATTAATATTATTATTATTATTAATTATACATATTTGATTTACCCAATAATCGAAATATATCTACATCTTTCTAAAGAAAAAAAAGAAAAAAAAAATTGAAATTAATCAGACACAAAGAGCCGACTCAGTAGTGTAAAATGTATAAACCTTGAATGAAGCGCTTTCTGTTGGAAACACGGGAATGAAATTGCTTTAGAACGCAATTTAGATACAAATACGAATGCGTTATATACATACGAGTATATTGATCAACTAGAAAAGAAAGGGAAGAAAACACCGTGTATCTACTTGCTGCGCCATTCGATCAACTAAGTACTAATTACAGTTACAATAACAACCAGCAACCAACATCACATCCATTTAAAGTAATAATTAGCGAACACTAGTGACACGACTAAACTCATATTTAAAAAACAAAATAAAATATGCCTTGGTGTAATTTATTACAGATGGCCCCCTGGTTGTTGCGTTGATGATCAACTACCACCACCTCACCTTACATTTCCTGCCTCTTATATATATATATGCTACGCTTTACTTTCCTCGATGTCTCGCTCGATATCATACCGAGCGCAGGAGATCAGTACGCGCGAGTTGTTGTATTGTCGAGAAGAAGGTCGCGCGTACTGATCGAGATGAGCGGAAGGAGAAAGAGAGAGAGAGAGAGAGAGAGAGATACCGAGAGAGCGAGCAGCTGTATTTCCCGTTAACGTCGTCGAGTATGATTATGATAGTTGATAACCTTCAGACCGGCTCGTGACGCCAAATAATTAAACCTGAAGTGCAATAATGAAAAAGTATTGCGTCAACTTTCGCCATCATTTTCTTTCGTTCGAAATCGACACTTCCATTACATTCTCCTGTACATTTAGCATGTTTTTCTTTTTTCTTTTTCTTGTAGTAATTGACTAGTATCCTTAATCAAACTTGTCAGTGTCGAATGTATGTAAAGAATGGAATACTTAACGATGCCGAGAGAGAATTTGGATACAGATTTTGTTGTTCGTGTAAACGTTTGTCATTTTATAGAATATTGTACATAGATATCCCTGTTGTTCCACGGTTTCTACGTAATTTTACCGCCGGACTGAAGTGTTCTTTTCTTTCTTCAAGCAGCATCTTTTCTTTTTTCCTTTTTAATGAAATCAATGTAGGTGGTATACAATCAGAGCGTCGTCAGTTAAGACCCGTATATCGTTACTCACCGTTAAGTCTTCATTGAATACCATACTTTCACCCGTGGTACACATTGTTCATGAACCAGTTTGACCAGCACTTGAGAATACATACACGTTTTGAATGCTAAAACGAAAAGGTTCTCCCCAGCAAGCCCGAAGCGGCATAATAAGTAGATGATCGTAATATGTGTTAACGCACGTTTGAGAAATTGGCGATAGAATGATATGTACCAGCGTGTATACGTAAATAATACGTCTTCGTTTCTTTTGTAGTAGCTTCAGGGCAAGCATCGGCCCCTTGAGACCATCGTCTCATTGCGAAGGTTTTACACTGATCCGTAATCGGTCGGCCGGTATATCCCTTTGCACGTGAGAGAATAAAGTGAATATTTATAACGGCATTATTATATTGTAATACGTTAGTGGACATTCTCGTATTGTATTTATATGTTCCCCGTCGATCGACATTCGCGCGAGAGCGCCAGGTATATCCATCAATTCATTAACGTATAAACGCAGACGATTATTCCGATTACGTTCGCGCGATGTCATGAGAGAGTAACGATGTGTACTTGAATAACTTTGTTAATTTATTTTCTCACGTACGATACGTACATATCTTTAATTGAACATACACACACACACACACACAAACAAACACACCACACATACGCATACCAATTGATCCATGTATAATGTCTTCAGTATTATTTCACGTATAATGAAAGGAAAAAAAAAAAAACTACGTTATGTAGAATCTTAGTTTCTCTTAGATACTAAAACTGATAAGACCATCTTTTATCTCTGTCAATAAAAATTGTTCCTAGGACCATTCATTTTCTTTATGTCTGCGCTAAATAATTGCCATTCCTCTTGCACGTTTCTGCGAACGCAAATGGAATTGCAACAGTAGTGATCCGCTTGCGAACCGATAACTTATCTGCGGCAAAGTGAATTATTTTACGTATCTTATCGCGCAGCATTCGCACTACCTGACGATCGTATTGCATGATATCAAATAATTAATCAGTAAATATTGAGAAAACACGATTTCGTTATATAATTTCCACGAGAGAATATTCAAGATAATACTTACCGTACGACTTGCAAAACGCATCAACGCTTTGCAAAAATTGAAATCCTTAACTGCGTAATTATGTATATTGCATAAATATAATTAGCAGCCTTTGTCAATGAAGTACAAGTATCACGATTCGAATGGACAAAGTTCACATTTTATTTTCACTTTTGAAGAAATCAAAATAGAAACATCGTGAGAAACGCAGCTAATATCTCGCGTGTTCGCATCAGAATGTCCATAATTTTTTGTTTTTGCCTTTTTTTGCTTTTCTTTGTTGGACTGATACGTGAATGAACGCAGAACATTTACGCTACATCGTGTTACTGGTAACTATTATAAAATATAATCGCAAAAAAGTCGCAGCAGAATATGTGTATTCTGGTGGTGTGTAGTAAGCAGCGCGTGTGTATACCGTTTGGTTTTCCGGCTGAATGGCAGTGATAAAAATGGATATCAAATTCATTCGGCATGCATTCGGCTATTCTCTACTGTACTTGTATGTTGCGTCATGTGCAGCAGAGTGCCCCGGAATAAGCGGATTAAATTCCAACAACAGGATTATCCGGAGCCAACTTGAGGCCAATCTTCTTTCAACGAAAATAACGACGTGGCACAATTTTTGCACAATCAACGAATGAAAATAACAATCTTTTCGCGGATCAATTTCAATTTTAATTATATAATTTTCTCAGCATTCTTCGATTAATTTTGGATAGTCCAATTTTAACTTGAGGCTTTTCCTCGCACAACTTTCTCCACAATACTTTCTTCATTTCGATTCTGAAGTATCTGTTATTAGAATTTGAGCCGCTCGATTTTGGACCAGGCACTTCATGATTCCAGGTGAAACTCTGGTTAAGTGAGTACTGATACGGTGTTCCTTTTTTTTGTCCAAATGAAATTTTTATTAAACACGATTTTTCTGTAACATCGAGGACGAATTATAACATAAATAATCATAATCGATCAGTATCACTTTTTCGCGCTCAACAGTGAGTCTATTAGTAACACTGGAAGATAATAGAGTTGTGGGGGTTGTTGGGGAGGCGAGGGCGGGGAGGGGGCGGCGGCAGCGGCGTTGATAGCGGTTTCTCTGCTTCCTCTGCCATTTAGCTTTCTCTCTCTCTCTCTCTCATTCTCTCATTCTCATTCACTCTCTCTCTCTCTCTCTCTCTCTCTCTCTCTCTCTTACACGTCATATATATTTGAACAATTACCGTTCACTCAGCTACACGAGGTTTTGGTATACAACAATACCTTACCTAATCTAGCCTAAATTGTAATTATCATAGCGTGAAGCATTGTGGTGGTATTGTATATATACATCACACGCGCGCAAACAACTATAATTGAATCCTGGATTCGCATTTTTGTCTCAGTAATTTGGTTTCAGTGTTACATTATTAAAATATCGTAGACAGGAGAAAAACAGGGATACTGGGAGAAAAGATACTAAAGGCGATTATATCTTTGCGTTCAATGTGCCTGCATTTTTCTTTCCTCAAGCGTAAAGTGACGATGAAGATCGCTCCCGTTACAAAGAACCAAGAAAAAAAAAAAAGTAAGAACAAACCACCACCACCACCGCTCCCCGGCACACTCATGCATTATTTTCCTTCTTCCGTTTAGTAACGCGCTGATTAAAATTATAATTTCTCTTCCATGTTCGCGCATCTTGTCCCGTTCTTTGTTTTAGACGTCGAGTGACTATTGTATTTTTTCCGGTATCGTGAAATATAGGCGCATTTTCAAGGCGAAAGCAAATGTTTTCAGACGCGTGTTGTTAATCTGCGTTCTTTCAACTGATAAATGTTTTATCAATTCGACCATCATCTCGATTACGACACTAATCTCTCGCTTCGTCGAAAATGCACTTATACGTTGAGCTTCTTTCTTAGATAGAAAATACTGCGCAATCAAAAAATGGCAAGCGGGCGTTCCGAGTTTTTTTTCCCCCTGTTTTTCTTGTATTCGAACGTGACACGACTGTGGAGAGGAAGGTGGTGGCTGTACGCGCACGAACGGTACGATTGTCAGCTCCCAAATGTGACAATCCCACCCGCCCCCGGATAGTACTCGCGACGCGTTGTCTTCTGCCCCTGCTGCTGCCCCTGCTGTTGCCCCATACAAAGTGTGCGTGATCGACCGGTGAAATTTCGATCGCGAAGCACGCGACGCAGCGTGGGCTGCGATATCGAGAAAATTTGGTCACTATCGCCAAACGCCCGCTCGCCTGTACTGAACGAACTTAACATGGAATGTACAAATTATTATCCTTTGTTTACATGTCGTTATTTATCGTATGCATAATACCATCTCTTTTCTTAGGTAATCAATCGATTTCGCCATCGTGTGTTTGTGTGGTATCTGTGTGTATCTGTCTACTGGTACATACGGTGTGTTTTGTTAGTTTTACACAAGCTTCACATACCCGTTACTCCATTGACACACGACACGGTTGATCTCCGTGGAATTAATTATTATGGGACCGAATAAAATTGCTCGGCTAATCGGTTGTCGACCGCTGGCCTTTGCGGCTTTGACAACTCGGTTAGACGGATCTTTTTTTTTTGTTTTTCTCACGTATCGTTGTCCATGAATAACTGTGAAAATGTGAAATCCCGCCGCGTCCAGCAGCCTCTCAATTGACTTAATACTATTCGTGTGTACCTCCTGTTGATCAACTACTCGCATTCATACTTCTCTTTTTTTTCTTTTTTTTTTACTAAAGTTTCATCCATATTCTTCGTCTATTAATTTCTCATCAGCACAATCGTTATCTGCGCCAGATCTTATCCGCAAAATCTCATTTTCTCTCTTTCTCTCTCTCTCTCTCTCTCTCTCTTTCGCTCGCGCTTTGTTATATTACGCCGTTTTACCACGCGCGATTCGCGTGTCGCTTACACTTACATATTTCTATCCCGATGATATAATTTCGTCTCTTTAAAGTTTTTTTTCGCTTCCTCGCGTAATGCCTACTCGCGTACCTGCCGTTTCGCGGTTGCATTTAATATATATATTTATATATATATAATTGTGCTAAATATTTTCTTTTATCAATAACATGTTTTCCTTTATACACTCAGTAGAGCCGATTACTTTAACTTGATAATTCAATGTTGTACTAAGCTACAAATGATTACTATACAGTGAAAGAGAAATGTTCGACAATGGGTTTAACACGATAGATCTCTCTACAAGATGCACACGTACTTCCCCTATCGACTGTTATTCTCCATTTCTTTTTCTTATGTGCTATACATTTTTTTCTTCATGTATTCGCAGCGTCGAAATGCGCCGTCGCGCGTCAATCTCGCGACATGGGAAAAAATCGAGCGCATCTCTCAATCGCAGCACCTTTGATATAATTATGTGATGGTGTATGATGAACAATGCGTGATGTGGTTAAATGCTCGGACGCTAAATACATGTAGATCGATTTCTTTTTAGTACGATATTACAGAGGGGGAAGGGGGCCGCGCAGAGATGAGCCGAGATGGTAAGTTAGATAGGTATGCATGGAGTAACGTGATTAAGTAAAATGTTGAAACAAGTTTTGTAATATAATAGTAGTCGGGGAGCGCTGTTGGTTGCAGGCGACATGTCTTGCATGGAGCCGTGGCAGGTAGTAGTATGCCGCTACTGACCGTTTACTTGGTGTACAAGTAGATGGCGACGATGAGACCGTAGAGACCCAATACCTCGGCGAAAATCAGGATCAAGATCATACCGACGAAGAGACGTGGTTGCTGAGCGGTACCTCTTACACCGGCATCACCGACGATACCGATAGCGAAACCGGCTGCTAGACCGGAGAAGCCTACAGCTAAACCAGCACCCAAATGGGTGAAACCCCTAATAATCAAAACAAACATCCTTAGTCACAGAGTCGCTTTCCTCGCTAACAATTAGTGATATCATGGTTTTTAACTATAATTACATTGTAAAGAGCTCCATGTGCCATTATGTTTATACACAGATCTAAGTGCGAGTAGCAGAATCATACAATGTAGATACGTACGTATACAGGTCATAACCAGGGGCTTTCTCAAGAGAGCCAGAAATGAGAACGGCCACTACAAGACCGTAAATGGCAATGATACCTGCCATGACAACAGGAATGATGGATTTCATGATTAATTCTGGCCTCATGACGGACATCGCTGCGATTCCTGTACCAGCTTTCGCCGTGCCATATGCTGCTCCCAGAGCTGTAAAGTTAAATTAATACTTAATTATACAATGACAACAGGTGAGCAGATTCGTCGCAAACTTACATTGTGCGTGTCATGTTTTATTGTACAATTTAATATTCACAGCACACAAATTGTAAGATACAAAGTAAAAAAATGTTGGTTGTTACAACAATCATTTCCCTAACTTTTGACATATTTAGTGTAATAAAAAAGATTTGACATCAATTATATATATATTATAATATAACATCGTTAACATTGTCTTTCTTTTCGTTTCTTTTGTTCATTAAACATTTAATAGAAATTTGTTAACGAACGTGATATTTGATCGGCATTTATTCAACATTTAACGCGTAATATATGATATTACAATCTACTTGTCGACCGGTGTGCGACAAATCTGTCGTTAGTAAGCATAATTTCGGTGCGGATGAACTTTTCGTCATTTTCGAAGGTAAATCACGGAGAAATGTTCTCGGAAAACAAATCGTATAAAATCATGCCGCGTATTTTCCAAACACACTGTACAGTTCTTGGCGGTTTTAACTGTAAGCGTGCACGAGGATTATCGATCGAGCCTATTGTGTGACGGTCTCAACGGAGAAGCGACGAAAATAATTTTCATCCCGGGGTCATTTTTTTTCGAATACGCAAATCGCGTGCATGCAATTCCGTCGAGATCCGCGTAAAATTCTTTGTAAAATTTCTGCAAAATGCGACAGCGACAGGTAGCCGCACGGCCACCCAGCCCATCCTGGAAATTACAGTCACATGATTCTCACGTTGGCAGTCACATGACAATCGTACAAGTCCCATCCCAGTGAGTAGGGGGGCGTGGCCTTGTGAATGGCGATTGTGCAGTTTTCTCCGCGATATACCTTCGAAAATGATTTCAATTTAAACAATATCTTAATTTACGCTGACCACAACCATTTAATCGGCCATTTAACGATTATGCTGCAAACATATGTACCTTATCGTACAAGACCATATGTACCTTATCATGTATAAATAAACGTATCGAACGCTCTCGTGTCAGTTGATTCTAGTAGTTATGTACTCGATTTACGTTGGAGATCAAAATAAGAGTCTTGCTAATTCTCGTTTCGCCTTTTATACTTTGCGCTTTGCAAAGAGAAAGAGTGAACGAGCAACATGCAATTCGACTCGCATCTGACACATGTAAACCAAGCACAATTACCGAATCAGCGGAATCAATTTATATTTCACCGGTGCAGTCGTAAAGTAATTCGAGAGAGACGGGTGAGGCGAGAGAATTCAATCGTGGCGGCCTCGGGGACGGTGATCGATGGCTCCGATCGATGCGTTTCGGGGAACGCGAGGAACGAGATTCTCGATTGTGGAGCGATACAATCTCAAGCCGACACGCGTGTTTTCCATTGAGAAAAACCCTTCAAGACGCGTATTCGGTATTGATCTTCCCGTAAGCGACGCTCGCAGCGGCTCCCACGGGTCATCGTTTACCGCGAATTCGGGAAAATCATTAATTGCAAATCAATACGCGCGCCGAACACGTTCGTTTCGTGAAAAAAGCGATCTCTCCCGTCACTTTCTTACGTGTTCTAAATTGAAATGTGTTCTTATTCCGCGGAAAAAAGAAAAAAAGAAAAAAAAGAAAAAGGAAAACGAAAGCCGATCAATTTGACACCGATATCGAAATTTAGATAAAAAAAGAAACTAAGAAATAACAAGTGCAGAAAGTACAAGTAAAGAGGACAGATCGCTGCCGCGCCGTGCGGGGGAAACGCGTCTCGTGACACGCACGAGGCGCACGCCCGCCCGATTATTCCGTCTCCGTCTGTCTGCCTGCCCATCTATCTGTCTATCCGTCCGTCTGACCATATATCCGTCGCTTTTCCGAGACTTGTAAAATTCTAGCGGTGTGCCGCTGCCGCGCACGTTCGAGGTCAGCATTACGAAATAGCTGTGCCCGGTCCGGCCGCGGTGGCAATCCGCGAATGCGAATAAAAGCGCTCTTTTGCCCAAGAATACAGACGCGACTTGGATCGCGCTTTTCCAATTGCGAAATTCGCGACACGGAAGAGATATTCGCGTAAAGACTCGGAGAAGACGAATGCGACGAAGGCGGAATGGAATGGAATTAAAGGAAAAGATGAAGCGAAAGATGAGAATCGACGATTTCGACGAGGGGGGCCGATCGCGATAAGACGAGCGTTCGAAATTTCACGCAGTTTCGCCATCGGCCAGCGAGAGTGTTCGTCACGCGCGTCTCGCAACCACATGACGTCGGAACGCGCTGCGAGTCTCGGTCTCGCGCGAACACCCCGTGGTAAATGCTCCCCCGCGTTCTCTCACCGGGGATCGATAATTCCGTGCGCGCCGCGCGCTGTTCGCACACCGATTTTCGTCTGTCTTTACGCCGCTCGAGAAAATGGCGTGGAGACGAATATATCGGCCGCATAAGTCCGGACACGGTGATGAGCAATCGCGAGTCGCGAAGACAAGGTACGAGCATCTCGCGGTCTCGTTCATCGTCGATGCGTCGAGCGAGCGAGATCACGAGGTGGCGGCGAAGAGCAGAGTCGAAAGCTCACCAGAAAATATGATGGCACAGGCGGCGCCCATAACGCCGAAAAACGGCGAGTATATCGGTGCTCCCTCTTCCGAACTCATTGTGGCTGAATCTGTCGGGTGTCGGCAGCGATTGAGTCGATCGCGGGATGTGTATTTACAGGTTGCTCGATCGTCGCACGGAACGTCGAACGCTGAGCGATCCTCACGTCACTCACGTCGCTAAACTAGTGGGCCACTGTCAAATATGGCCTACCGGACTACTGTGGCGCGGGTCATGTGATGAGTGACGAGCGATCAACGAGCAAGAGGAAGGCAATCGTCGCGCCGCGGCATGTCGCGTCAGTCGCATCGCGATTGGCCGGCGGAACTTGACTAGGACTAATCGTACGCCGTGTCTTATCCTTATCGTCTGACGTCGCAGACTCCGATTGGCCTTACAAGCGCGCATGATTCGTCGTCCTAAGCGCGTGACATGCGTTTTCCGCCTGAATTTTCTGTCTGGTCGCGAAATATTTTAAACAATTGTATATATTTATCGCAAAATATCGTCCCAAACTTTCTCGAATATGAAATATTTCTCTTTGTCAATATTGAGAGTTAAAGCGATCGGGTGTGTACGCCCTTTGCGCGTGACGAGCATATGACTGCATGTTTGAATTACCAATGTCAGCTGATGGGGGGGAGAGATGCGTGGCCTGGAAATGTTGGACGGTAGGGTGAATGATACTTGTAAATACCAACGCGATTACGAATATGATAAGATTTAAGATATTGAGAGAAATAGCTCTGGAAAAGAGTTTTTTTTACAATGAAAGTTATTTTATTGATATTATGTGTGTTATCTGTTTCCATGTCATTCAACATACATGCGTTTCCAACCTAATTATACTTTCTTGCTTGAAAATTCTTTGATCGAGAAATAATATTTGCGTAAAAATATTTCAATAAGTTCAAGCAATTTTATTAGACCAGCTAAATATATTTATGAAGTAATAATAACAATAATTTCAAGTATGTATCTGTATTTATTACTTTCTACTCGGAATGTTACCTATAAATTTTATCTTTTTATTCTTTTGTCAGCGTAGAATAACTCTATTTTTCGAATAAATATACTTGTTTTCCTTTCGGTTAATTGTAGATTTATCTTCTCTTTTGAACCCATTGTGAACTGTATATATTGGAGGTTAAAAAGTTTTATACTTGATTATCGCGTCATCTGTACAGTTTATTATTAAACATATAAGAATGTGCTTTTCAACAATCGATAAAATGAGTTTCTTTTTTATGCGCAATATATATTTCTGTTCAAATGTCAAATATATTATTTTTTATTTTTGGATTTTTTGTTTTTTTTTTTCTATTCTCTATTCTCTATTCTATTTGTGTGCTTCTTTCTTTAGCGATTACGCGAAATATACATTGAAATATGTTTTATATAGTAGTTTATTCATGTGAATCAGCCTTTACAAGCGTTTCATGAAGATGAGCGAAATAACACATCTATAGCCATACCACTGCATGACAGTTAAGTTTGTGTGGAGCCGCATACTTTTGCAAGTAATATTGCTTGTTCTCTGTTTCTCTTTATTTAAAAGAAATCGCTAATAAAAATGGTACGTATTTAATTAATTAATTCTTATTGTGTTATCTCTTAAGCGAACTTTTTTATTTGTTCAATTACATTATTGTGAAAATTGATGTGTCATGTCAAAATTGTTATGTATTTTGGTTATTCGTACAGATATAGTGGAATGTAATAATAATTGTAGAACATATTAATATTTCTTTTATTAATAATCGAAACATGTGAATATTAGATGTATATGTTAATGAAACTTTATCTTTCGCATGTAAAATGATACTGAGAGGTTAAGTATTGCAATGATTATGATAAATGTAAAAATAATAATATGAGATAAAAGTAAATATTTTTAGTAGAAGATAGAGCTAAAAATGCATCAACTTGGTATAATTTTTACTTAATGCAAGAAAATTTTTAATCTGTTAACTGAATATATTTTGTTTTTTAGTTCCGCAATCAATACGACAGTGATGTGACAGTATGGAGCCCGCAAGGACGTTTACATCAAGTAGAATACGCCATGGAAGCTGTGAAGCTAGGTTCAGCCACTGTGGGCCTTAAGAACAAGAAACATGCTGTTCTTATCGCATTGAAAAGAGCGTCGTCAGAGCTATCAGCTTACCAAAAGAAGATCATACCAATAGACAAGCATATGGGAATCAGTATCTCAGGATTAACTGCTGATGCGAGAATATTGAGGTATATTATTTGTTAATTTTTATATGTTTGCTGTTATATGCAGAGATGCATAACAAAACATGCTTTTGTCTTTACAACTTTAGGATAATTTTTTTTAATGATGTATTATTTATTAACTTATAACTTATCACAGCAAATTGTTATTTACAGTCGTTATATGCGAACTGAATGCTTGAACTATAAGTATGCCCATGATGATGTATTACCCGTGGGCCGTTTGATTGCCTCTTTGGGAAACAAGATGCAAACGTGTACTCAGAGATACGATAGACGTCCGTATGGCGTTGGGTTACTCGTAGCGGGATATGATGTGAGAATTTACTGAAAATTATCACGTTAGTAATTTATTGTATGTTGAATACGTTTCTCTAACAATATAATTATTTTTTTAGGATCAAGGACCGCACATATATCAAACATGTCCATCGGCGAATTATTTTGATTGCAAAGCGATGGCTATAGGATCTCGCTCTCAAAGTGCGAGAACGTACTTAGAAAAACACTTGAATGAATTTTTGTCGTGCGATCTTGACGAACTGGTAAAGCATGGCCTCAGAGCGTTACGTGACACCTTACCCAATGAAGTTGATTTATCAGTGAAGGTACGATTGATCCAGCAATTTTAATTTTAATTATGTATTTTTTCAGATTTTATTTCAAAAAAAGTAATATAAAAATTATATTAAATTTTGATTGGAAAATATGTTAAATCTCATCGACTTACATTTCAGAACGTATCGATTTCGATAGTAGGAAAGGATTACGATTTCGCTATCCTCGACGAGACCACAACAGCTACTTACTTGTCCCAGATCGAAGGAGACGATAAACGCGGAAAGCCCACGGAGCCAGCTACACAAGATGACAGTAGGCCTCCGCAAGATCCACCCGCTGATGAGGGTCCTGCGGACCCTCAAGTTGCTATTGCCATGGATACTGATTAAATAGTAATGTAAACTTTATTCCATACAATTTATATAAAGATTAAAACTGCATTTTATTATTGAATATCTCAACGTTTTGCAACAATGGCTAAACGAAGGAATATTTATTATCGATCCATTTACAATAGCATATAATTGTTCAGCTCATGCATATAATTACATTATGAATTTATTTTCATAAAATATAATTCAAATTCATTACTGTACACACACAGTAATTTGAATTATATACATATATATACATATTAATTTTCTGTAATATTTTTCGACTAAACGATCTTTACACGACTATATCTTTGGTTCCTTTATGATGCAGAATCATCAATATGTTGTTTTTGCCGTTGCTTTAGTATATTAGTCAAGAAATATTCTCCGGCTTTATATGATGATCGTACTAATGGACCACTGGCAGTATATAAGAAACCCAACTGATTTCCTCTGCTTTCCCACGCTTTAAATTTTTCAGGTGTTACATATTCGATCACTTTTAAATGCCTCTTGGTAGGTTGCATATATTGTCCCAAAGTTAAAGCATCCACACCGACGTCCCTCAGATCCTGCATAGTCTGTTCAACTTCCTCATCGGTTTCACCCAGGCCAAGCATTATTGACGATTTCGTGATTAAATCGGGATTGAACTTCTTAGCTGCCTTCAGTACAGCCAGTGATTGTCTGTATGATAAGAATGATGGTTTAATTAGAATTTAAAGAAGGATAAGATTAAATATAAAAGACACATGAATATATATATATATATATACCTGTATCGAGCGCGTCTATCTCGAACAAAAGGAGTTAGACGCTCCACGGTTTCGATATTATGTGCAAATACATCCAAATCAGAGTTTACAATTGTAGCTACGCAATCTTCATCCCCTCTGAAGTCTGGCACCAAACATTCCACTAGGATACTGCTTCTATGATGAAATAAAGAAGCATTTCTATACTGCCATATCTAAGCAATTGCTTTAAAATGAAAAAATTGCCAACTTTATTCCAATAAATAAAAGATAAACATCTTTCACAAGTAAAGTACCTCTTTTTTATTTCCTTAACAGTGGATGCAATGTGACTGGCTCCACCATCTTTCAAATCTGAAATGATTGGTATACATTTAATTATGATCTATGAGTACATATGAGTACAAAATTTGTGAAAATAATCTATACGACTGACCATCTCGATCCACAGATGTTAGAACAACATAGTCCAAGCCCCAGTCTGCTATTGCACTAGCAGTATTAACCGGCTCTTCCACATCTAATGATGGTGGTGTACGTGCGGTTTTGACAGAGCAGAATCGACAACCACGAGTACATGTATCTCCCATTAACTGCAATAAATAATTATCTTTACACAATTTTAATAAAACTCCTTCTGTAGAAGTCTAATATCTAATATCACCAGGATTTATTTTAAGCGTAGCGCATGATCGAGCAAGATAAATATTTTAAGTGTGTGTTTTGTTAGCTCGGTAAATTTAACACCGACTGAATCAATGTTCAGATTTATTTTAGTCTTAATGTGAAATCAAATGCAAGTGTGCAAAGTGTTTCACAAACCATTATAGTGGCAGTTGCTGTACCGTGACTACCTCCGCCCCAGCATTCTCCAATATTTGGACATCTGGCTTCTTCGCATACTGTGCTCAATCGCAATTGCCTTAACTGTGCTTTTATCTTGCTGTAACTCTTGCCCACAGGTATCTCTGTTTTCAGCCATGGTGGTAGCCTCAGTCGTCCTGATTCACCTTCCTCCAATTTTAATTTTCCATCGTACTCTTTAATCTCACTATCCCTTAGGAAGTCCTCAAACTGTGGACCATCTGCTAGTTTTTCAGAAAATTCTTTATTGCTATCTGTTGAAACTCTCACACACTGCAAAAAGACATTCCTATAAATCTTAATAGATACAAGATTATGTAATTCTATATTGCAACAAATAACAAAACTTGTGTAAGTAGGAAACGTTTTGCTCTCGCATAAAATTATCTTATAACGGAAACAGATGGTTGAAATTTACCGCCAAATAAAAGTGGCAGCTAAGAGGACATTTGGGATTCGCACCGAATATTCGTAACATGTTTGTATCGCAAAATTAACAACAATCTGTCAAAAATGTAAAAAAACCGGAGTTATGTTTAGAAAACAACATGAAGATTGAAGGACGGCCAGAAAACGCCTAATCGCGTCCTTTAATTTTTATTTCTCTTCTAGGGTCCCTAAGTGAAGGACAGCTAAAGCGCTATCATATGATGTTTTCGGCTTCACTTTTTAAACGGAATGGTTCGCTTATCTACATACATTGGTAATTGTGTCTCAACTGTGGACGCATCTATCTGAACGAGAATTCTATGACGTAATTGACAAAAGGTCTCGGGAGGGGAATAGTACGTTTTGACTACTCTTGCGGAAGATCTGTACGGTGTGAGAGGTGCGACGGAATTGCGTTCGCGTTTCAGCCAATTTGTCGCGATAGTGAATGCGCACACGAAGCGGTCTTCCTTTCGCGAACAATCTTCAATCGAAAATCCTCGAAATCGCACGCGAACGTGACGTCGTGGCGGCGTTTTTCCTTCGTACAACACGTGGGGAAAAGCGCTGTGTTAGCTAGTGCGGCGATGTTCCGCCCGGTAGAAATGCACTAATCAACGAAATCTCGTATCTGTTACGATACGATGGAGTTTATGCTGCTGCTAAAGTCCGTGCTGAGTGCTTGTCAGTGTCACGCTCGAGTTATTGAGTCGTAAAATGGTGAGTACCCGTTCATGGGTCTTCCCCAGAAAAATGATCCTGTAGATACGTAGATACGAGTCGAGCGATCCGTCAATCGCCGTATCGCTTTAACTCTATTTGTGTACGTGACTACGTATTTTTGTGACTGGCTTTTTGTGAGCACTGTTATGTGATCAGTATACTATAAAAATATATTATTTTACATCCCTTTAGTTTAAAAATGACATATCTAGAAATCTCAGTCAACTAGCTCTGAACTTATGTGTAGAACTTGATTCATGATTGCTCGCATGTTTTTTTCCGCTAACAAGTTGCATTATTCACTATCATAATTTTATTACTGTCATTCAAGTTGCATTATTCACTATCATAATTATATTACTGTCATTCAAGAAAAATTAAATCTTACTCTATTTATATTCTTTATGCATCTGCAAAATAAATTATTTTAGTGACCAATTATTAAATATAATATTATGTTTGTGTTTCATGTTATTTTTTTTATAATTTCAGGGTGCAAACATATCACAATTAGAAAGAGATATTGGCTCTGATCAGTTTCCGCCTAATGAACATTATTTTGGTTTAGTCAATGTAAGTGTAACATCATATATGATGGGATTATTTCAAAAATTAAAATATTACATTGTCTACTTAAAGTTCTTAATAAAAATATATTTTCTAGTTTGGTAACACTTGCTATAGCAATTCAGTATTGCAAGCTTTATACTTTTGTCGACCATTCAGAGAGAAGGTTCTAGAGTACAAGGCCAGAAATAAGCGAACTAAAGAGACACTACTAACATGCCTAGCCGATTTATTTTACAGTATTGCAACTCAGAAGAAAAAAGTAGGGTCTATAGCACCAAAAAAGTTTATCGCCAGATTGAGGAAAGAGAAAGGTCGGTGCAATGTTTGTTTTACGATAATGTCACTCCAACTTTTTGTATACTTATACTTTTTTTTGCAGAGGAATTTGATAATTACATGCAACAAGATGCACATGAGTTCTTGAATTTTCTCATAAATCACATAAATGAAATCATTCTGGGTAAGTAGCAGCCTGCCACTTCTAATCGCACTCGTAATACCTTATTCACAATTGTGATCTCACATATCAGCGGAGAGAACTCAGAGCAAGCCGGCTGGAGGAAAGTGTGGAGCGGGGGATGCCATTGGAGGATCGCCACCGGAGCCCACGTGGGTTCACGAGATATTTCAAGGGATACTGACCTCGGAAACGCGCTGCCTTAACTGTGAGACTGTTTCTAGCAAAGACGAGGACTTCTTTGATCTACAAGTCGATGTAGACCAAAATACTTCGATCACGCACTGCCTCAGATGCTTCTCCAATACAGAGACCCTGTGTAGCGACAACAAATTCAAATGCGATCATTGTAGCAGTTACCAGGAAGCTCAGGTATTAAGGATGCAGCGATGCATACTTTATTCAGCGTCATGAACTGAGCAAATTATATAAGTCTCTTATCAAAATGTAATTATTCCGAATTACAGAAACGTATGAGAGTCAAGAAGTTACCTATGATCCTAGCGTTGCATCTGAAAAGGTTTAAATATGTGGAGCAGTATAATCGTCACATAAAAGTGTCTCACAGGGTAGTTTTCCCATTGGAGCTCAGACTTTTCAATACTGTGTAGTTTTTTTTTTTTTTAAATAAGCGTTATTTATTAAATACAAATTTTTTTTGTATTAATAATTATTCCAGTGCTTAACAGCAATGGATAATTGTTTTAAATTACAGAGTGATGATGCTGTAAACCCAGATCGTTTGTATGATTTGGTGGCAGTTGTGATACATTGCGGAAGTGGGCCTAATCGGGGGCATTACATTTCTATAGTTAAAAGTCATGGATTCTGGTTGCTCTTTGACGATGATATGGTCGACGTAAGTATTTCTATCTAATGTCTTATTTATACAATGCAGGCATTAAATTATGTCTATAAAAAAAGAAAAAAAAATATGATTAAACTTTTTGGCTTTTAGAAAATTGATGCTTCAACTATAGAAGATTTTTATGGACTTACGTCGGATATTCAGAAGAGTTCTGAAACTGGTTATATTCTCTTCTATCAATCGCGAGATTGTAGTTAAAATTGAATATGAATAGCGATTGAAGTTAAGCGCTCCTATATGCTAATTTCGTATTTTAACAAAGTGCGCAGTGCATGTGAATTTTTGAATGTTCTAATAGGTATGTCAGATTATTTATGAGAATGATACACGAAATATTTCATCATGTTTTGGCTCCCAGAATATATAGAAAGAGAAAATGTAGTTTCGTTATTTATCTAAATTTTATAGAATTTTTAGTCTATATATGAACCACCGATTGTGTGTTTGTCGAGAGAAAAACTGGGAGCAATTTATGTAATGTTATATTTATTTATGTCCGAAGAAGCTAGTCTCCATCTTTGGAAGAGAATGAACACAATTATATTTATCAGTTATTGCAGTAACATACGTGTCCATTGAAATAGAGAAGGAAACGTTGGAAACACTATCAGATTCTATACAAATGTAAAGAAAATATGACTGAAAATAAAAATATTGTTATGAGAATATCTTTTATTCGTCACGTTACGCGCATGTGCAACATACGACTTAAAATTAAAATAACCAATGTATACATAATATTGTTCTTAAAAGAAAGAACGTTAGTTATTCTGCTTGTTCAATTACATTATGTAATAATATGGAAAAACGACAATTTTTGATCTTCAAAATTTTATTTAAGCAATAAATTCATATGGGACAGGTGCGAGTAAGATGGGTGCTTCGCGTCCTGATACAATATGTGCTTTAGACGGTTCAGCGGGTTGCCTTTTGAGCTGGACATGAATGCTCTTCTCCTTCGCCTCCTTCCTGAGCCTCTCGTTCTCCTTGACACGCTTGAGGAAATCATCCCTGCACTTGGAGTGGCTTAGATGCTCGATGCGTACATTGATCCTCTTGGCGATGATACGTCCACGCACCCTCTTGTTAACAATTACACCCAAGGCATGTGCCGTTACGTTGAATACACGGCCAGTCTTGCCATGGTAGACTTTGTACGGCATACCTTTCTGTACAGCACCATTGCCCTTGATGTCAACGATATCGCCGACTTTATACGTCTTCATATACGTAGATAAGGGAATGGTTCCATGTTTACGAAATTTGCGAGAGAACAAGTCTCTCGTACCACGTCTATAACCCTTCGAGTTGGTCATGATGGTGTGTTAATCTGCAACGAAAGATTATATACTTTATTATTCGAAATTTACAATATGTTTAACAAAAAAGCTATATTCTATAGAGCTAATTTGAAAAATAAATAATAGAGAAGAAATTTCTTATTAAAAATAAAAATTAACTATTAATTAATTACAGTTGAGCGATAAAATAAAATATAAATGCAGCAGTTGTGAATCAGTCTGCAATAGAACCTAACCTAAAAATCTCTGACTACTTTTTATACCAGTCAACTGAATTGACAAGAATATTGTATTTTTAGTTTCAGCTAATATCGCAGGCTCTTATGTAAAATTTCTCGGTATTGTTTAAACAATTTTTACGTGTAACGTGCAGTAAGCGATACAAAATGCACGTGGCGTGGGCCCACGTAAGATCAATAGACTTGACATTTTGTATTTCTAGACTTAGCCAGAAGCAATTGCATATCAGTGAACATATTATATACCTATTTTAGACGTATGAAGAGAACGAATATTCTAATTTGTTCTTAATTCTAAAAAATAATTCATACATACATGGAAAACTCGTCTCCACTGTAACCGTCGTCACGGAAAAAGATATTTTAGGGAGGAAATATGTTCGATATTTCGGAACACACCATCGATCATTGAGCATATACAAGTTGTAGAATGCAGACACGGTAGAGTATATCTAAAGACCCTAAGAGCCGATCATTGAACTATATACCATACTGGAACGAGCACAGGCTACCCCCTCCATTCGACAAAACGGTCAGACAAGGCAATGACTCGGTACCGGATTTCTCTTTCTATCTCGTCTACTCTCGACTAATAGTAGCTGTGAACACGTGACCAAAACTGTTGGTTAGATAGAGAGATCCGGGTCCGAACAGCTATCTCCATCTGACCGGTCGAGAACAAAGGCGTGCTCGTTCCAGTATGGTATATATTTCAATGGAGCCGATGTTGCTAGTTTGATAGAAAATGGCGTATTACTACCGTTGATTTGTACTACTGAAAAAAAGTACGTTTGATTTATCGTTGACTCGTATAATTTGTTTAATTTTAGCATACTTCAACGGCCAAAGGACGCATTATCGCGTCTTTCAATATATAACGATTATTTGTTTACCATGAGTAAGATTAATATTAACAACGTTTATTAGCATTAACAAATCAAAACTATATTTCAGAATTAAATATACGTAGAAAGATATGATCAGCTTTAATTATCTTTAATTAACATAATTATTATTTAATAAAATAATTAGCAGCACATTTGTCGCATGTTCTGTTTTTCTTCAAACATATAATGCATTGGATTATCAGCTGATGTAGTCCATGACAGTTCATATGACAGTTGTTATAATTTTTACAGGCAATATTTTATTATTATCTAAGCAATTCATAAATTCCAATAATAAGAGTTGTCTGTCGAGAAGTACAATATGTCAGTGTGAAATATTTATTTATAATACACAATAACCTCTACAAAAAAAGGCAGATTAAATCGCAACGGAGATATTCTTTCACTTGAAGATATGGAGTCGCATAAGAATAATAATGTAGCTTTAAATGCAAATGCAGTATTAAAATCATGTGCTTCGACGATTAACGAAGGTATATAATAGATCCCACTGGTATGCTAAATTGCATTGAAATTAGACGCTGGATATTGCACCTTTATTTAGAAATGTTTTGATGATTTTTGCATTTTTGTTACCACGTTAATGCTATATTTATGTATATAAAAAAAGGAAAAAACAATCTCGACAATAATTGCACTATGGATTGCGATAATTGCAATGGATTGAGCTGTATCATAATTAGAGTAAAAGTTTGTGGATGACAATAATAATAATAGACACTTTAAATTTAGCTGAGAGATTGCGAAGTCTTCAGGAAGACGAACACTCAAAATTAACGATTGGAGCATTTTTCGAATTTATGAGAACTGCGTATCAAGTTAATGATAGTTTCGAAGGTTTGGCCACTGTACTGAGTGCCAATAGCGAAATTGATTGGCATGAGTTAACAAGAATCAATTTAGATCTAGAAAAGTGTGAAGATAATAAAATAAGTAATGACAATCTCAATGTTCAAGAAGAAGGAAACAAGAATGTTAATCCTATACAAGATTTATTGTTGCAAACAATAAGTAGCAAAGAAACATGTACATCAGAGAATGCAATAAACTCTCAATCTTCTGTGACATCTTGCAGTACTCAGATTAACGAGACATGCAATAAGAATGACTCTACGCAGGAATCTAACAGTGCAGAAGATAATTCTAATAAATGTTCAGAGACAGTTAAAGAAGTAAATCAATTGTTGGAAAGCCAAGCCCAGAATCAAAAGGAAAAACAGTCTAAAGAGCATTTGGAAGAAAGTGAATATGGTTTAGCAAAAATCATGAAGGAAAATCTAAGAGATGTTTTGCATGAAGGATTACTGGACTCTGTTTTGCCGTACATGCTTCCCAAGTCTGCACTGTCACAACCTGTTATAAAAAAATCTGCTGCTCCCACTATAGATGTTAAAAAAAGTGCTTCATTGGGTAACATAGTTGACAATAAAGTGGTAGTCATTCACAAGGAAAGAGATAAGGAAAAGAATAAGGCAAACAAGAAATCTTTAGAGTAAGTTTTATCAAAGACAGCAAACTTTTTTTGTAAAAAAAAAGTAATTTCAGTTTTTTTTAATTTTATAAAGTTAAAAGTATAAAGTTAAAAGTATAAAGTTAAAAGTTTTTAATAAATAAAATTGGATTAGTTTCTTATATTATAAATTTGTTTTATAATAATAATAGTAATAATAATGTAATAGAAATAATAATAATGGAATAACTGGTATTAATATAATTTTTTTTTATTATAGGAACGAAGTGGAGATCCATGTATGCGATGAAGATAAAAATATCAAAAAGAACTTCAGATGTCCGCAAAAACTTCTTATACAAAAGATGTGTTATTTTGCTGATGTCACAGCAGGACAGAAACTCGACGAGATAGACATATCGGTACATTGTGATGTCGTTATTTTTGACTGGTTGATGAGATGGGTGAAGAAGGATATTATAAAGAAGTCAGAGTGGCCAGTTCTGGAGGCGAGTAATGTCATACCGATTATGGTATCCGCCTGCTTCCTACAAATGGAACCACTTTTGGAGAACTGTCTTCAATACTGCCATGACAATATGTCAGATATTTTGAAGACATCCACGATTTTAACATGTCTAGACGATAATCTGCTCACAAGGTACGTGCATATTTCATTGATGTTATAGTTTTGATTGTGTGTCACAGTGTGCCTCTTATGCTGTGAGAAATAACTTTTTAAAATCTTCGCTCTTCCGCTATTTTACTGAAGCTTATAATCGTCGACAGATTGGCAGAATTATTTACCAACGAAGATGTTGAATTACTAAAGGACAAGAAAGATAAAATTCAGAGTCGTCTGTTCTGCAAACTGATCATGTCGCTAGTGGAAGCCACTCCGGATAACAGGAAAGGACATTATAGCTCATTAGCCACCTTGTTTAAATGCGGAAAGTGCAACAAGAATGTTATACAGTCGATTTCCGATTTTGTGCCTTGTGTTCCAAGTGCAATGAAAATTGACAACAAGGGAGCTGTGCACAGTAAACACGTTAGGTACATACATGCGTTTTCATATAACATTGATATTTTTGCGGGAATGAAGAGAAGAATAAAGCAAACTAAAAGTCATTAAAGTAAATTTTATTGAGAACAGTTGCACGAATTTGAAGAGAACAGCGAATAATTATATTTTTAATAGATTCATAGATGTCTTGGGTTACTTTACAGAGACTTGACGTGGACATTGAACGATTACGTTATTACCTTACGATCTGAATTACGCTCTTGGCGCAAGGTCTATTGGAGATTGTGGGGAGATTGCCATTTCTTGTTCTGTCAGCAGTGCAACGTGTACTTTCCAATACATCAGATTGATTGGTGTTGTTATCATCCAGAACCTGCACAATTCTTCGTGAACGAGCAGCAAAGGCCTACGCCTTTTCCATTAGGACGATATCCATGTTGCAGTCAACGTGCCTATAGATTTGAAGCTTTGTCAAATCAAGGCGGATGCAGGTACAAAGTTGGTATCAACATTACGTATCTTATATAATTGTGTGCGATAAAATAGAATTCTCATTATTAAATATACATGTATAAAATAGGTAAAATGAGTATAAAAATATCAAAGTTTGAAAGAAATTCTGAGAAAAAATATAGAGAATTATTTTATCAAAAAAGTAGCTTAGCACAAAAATAAAAGAGCGCATATTCACATAAGACTCATTATAATATTTTATTAAAGATTTTAATTAATCGTAGAAAGTGGAGAAAATTGTGCATTTTTTCGCGAATAAACAGCTTTATTTATATTCGTTTTTAGGAGCACATGCCAGACATAAAGAGTGAGAAAGAATTACACATATTAAATATCCTGACAGCGCACAGAGAAGTGATAACTATCGAACCGCCTCAGCTTTTCTTCCCAGAAAAAATCACACGACTAGTGACGCGCGATCCGTCTCTCCGCCCGGGCAAGTTGGTGTGCAAAGATACAATGTGGTGGAATGGCATAGAACTCGTGCCACCGAGAGCGAAACTTGGCCTGCTTGGTAAAAGTTGTCTAATGTCTTTCTCTACCTTGTGTGTAAATTGGATAAATTATTGTAACGTAGAAAAATTTTTATTCTTAAAAAAAAACAGGAAAAATTTGGGGAGGCTCGGGATTCCGTCGATTGCTCCAGGCGCAAGATTCACAAAAGTCTTTGCAGAAGCTTCGTCGACAAATTTCCGTAACCACCGACGTTTCGTCTCCTACTTCGTCGACCACGGACGAGGACGACGAGGATGACGGTGGGACCGCGTGCGAGGACAGCAGTGTAGACGACGAATCGTATTACAGCGAGGAATCCAATACATTATGCGCGTTGCAGCCCAAGTATTTGAACAGTCACAAGTAATGAATCGCGTCGATTCGAGGTACGAAGTGCCTGTTCACAACGAGATTTTTACGTGATTTTTAATTGTTTAGGAGTAACGGTAGATGTTGGAGCGGTAACTTGAATGTAAGACACAATCAAGATAATCAGAGAGATTTTGAGGAAAGAGCTGCCGCGCAGATGATAGCTCTGTTAACGAAGAGAACGGTCACGGAGAATTTGCTTACGAAATCTTATAAGCAACAGCATAGCTACAAAAATAAGCAACCTATCGGTATGTTTCTTATACAATTTGTGCAATAATTACATATTGAATTAAATGAATGATTGATTATTTATGTAAATAATAAATTATATTTGAAATAGGTGGAACGTATGTAAAATTAGAAGCCGAATTGCGCGAACAGTTAACTCAGATTTGTAAATATAAGAATCCTCTAATAGGAAAGTCTCGTACCAAATCGAACAAATCTTGATTGATATATATACACACGATGGGAGATTTATCCGGAATATTGTATTGAAAATTTTATTGTGATTTTATGCAAAGATAAAGAAGACATGTTGCCATAATTTTCGTTTGTGTCCTTTAATAAATAAGTAAAAACTAGGGTAAGCAATTTCCTTCACACAAATGAATTTTATTAGAAAACTTGTACAAATATTATATAAAGACACATCATGGAACTTGTATTATTTCAACACATCTATTCACTGGTATTGATATTTTCGCTTTTTTTATAATGACGTAATGAAACGCGATAAAATCTATGACACTTTGGATGTTACAGAACATTTTCAAAAATTGTTGTTGCCCGCATTTATTTCTAGCGTTATCAATTGAAATTAACTCGATTAGAAAATAAATAATTATATAAAAATAAACATAATAATCATTATTCTTGACTTTCAATCTTTTTCTGAGAATTGTGTATGTTGTTTCTCACATTATCCAATTTGACTTGAATTTATCAGGAAATAAAATAGGAAATAAAACAGAAAATAAAATAATAAAATAAAATAAAATTAAAAAAAAAAAGTTTGTTTAAATTCACTTGTCCTTGTTAATCATATCACTTCTATCTAACAGTTTGTTCAGCTCCGCTTCTGTAAATACTACAAAGATCAATTTATTAGTTTTAGCAATTCTTTACACGTACGCACATATGCATGCATAATGTAAAGAACTTACCTTCTTTTTCAGACGCAACAACTTTATATTCTTTGGATTCCATTACCTGCTTCAATTTTAGCACAGTATCTTTATTAAAAAATGTTACGGGCAGTTGTTTTGAAATAACCATTTTTTCCAGGAACCGTTTAGCGTCAGCGCGCTTAATGATCGTTTCGTCAATCGTTCCCTTAGTACAAAGTCTATAGATTACCACAGGTTTTGTTTGTCCTATCCTGTGGCAGCGCGCCATAGCTTGTATATCTACTTGTGGATTCTGCAAGTGTTAAAAGTCGAATATGAGATAAAGTATAAATATCAGAAAGCGCGAGAAAACGCGACATCAACTCACCCAATCGCTATCGTACATGATAACAGTGTCGGCACCCGCGAGATTTAATCCGACTCCACCAGCTTTAGTGGATATAAGGAAGAGGAATATCTCCGGATTGTTATTGAAAGCTTGAATATCCTCTTTCCTTTGTTCTATCTTAGTAAGACCGTCTAATCTCACATATTTATAATTTCGTAACATGAGATAATCTTCGATCATATCTAATATCATGGTCCATGTCGAAAACAACAGAACTTTGTGACCTTGCGCCTTGAGTTTCATCAACATAGCGTCCAGCACTAAGAGTTTTCCTGAAGATCTGATCAAATCATTGTCGATTTTTGGCAAACCGACTGAATCCAGTGGGCAGTGAACCAAGTATGGATGATTCACGATCTTCTTGTACATTGTAACTAAAATGAAACATGAAAGTAAAGAGATGGCGATTTAAAATATCGAATTTTTTATATGTATGTAAACATATCGATGTGCAATGATACTTACGTCTACGTTGAAACTGAATGCGAATAAGAAAGTCCCTGTTACGTTCTGTAACATCGGTATACTGTTTCCATAATGATAAATTTTTCTCTTCTACAGGTGTCATCCCTTTCCACGTGTCCGTATCATTACTATCTTCGTCTTGTTTGCTTAACAAGGAACTCCCAGATGTATTCGAGAAATCGTCTTCGACAGATCCGTATTTACTTTTCAAAACGCACTTTCTTTTCGGTCTTTTATCATTCACATTCGGTATAATCAAGTCTGATTGTTCGATTTTAGTCAACGTTGCAAAGTCGTAATTCAATACGGCTCTATACAGATCATGTTGCAGTTGCGTAAGTGGCGCATAAACAATTAATTCCTTCTTGGGGGGAATCTCCAAACATACGTCCTCCTTTTCTCGTCTTAGCATAAACGGCTTTAAGATTTCGCGCAACGATGCTAGCACATGTTTCTCTTCTTCTTGTTTCCAAAAATTGCTATTACCTTCATTATGTTGAAATTCTTTGGCATCAAACCAAGATTCAAACACAGATAGATCATCAAAGATATCTGGTAGAAGAAAATGCAGCAAGGACCATAATTCGGCTAAATCATTTTGCAGTGGAGTTCCAGTCAGTACAAGCTTATTCGTACATTGTAGCGTTTTCAAGACTCTAAAAAATAAACGTTATACACTGATGTTACTTTTCAAGTAAAGAGATAGAGAAAAAACTTATAATTAAAAATTACTATTTCCCCTTAAATTAAAAGTGTATTTTTAAATATTCATAAACAATAGTAAATTTATTACCGTACTTGTAATTTATTTTAACAATAAAATTACTCTCTTTCAATTATTAACTTAGTTTTTTTATAAACCAATTATCTTTGCAACTTACTTGACTAGTAAGCACTTGGAATTTTTTATTCTTTGTCCCTCATCAATTACAAAGTATCTCCATTGTTCAGACTGAAAGAATCTAGTTTCCTTTAGTATTATCTCATAAGTGGTGATTACAACGGGCTGCGTTTTATAATCATCTTCAACATGATGCTTTTTCTTAATCTGTTTGTATGCAGCTTTTCTTTCTTCACTACTGCCATAAAACAACAAAACTGGTATATCAGGAGCAAATCTTTCAAATTCCATCAACCAATTTGGTATTGTGGAGAGTGGTGCAATTATTAAGAAAGGTCCAGGTTGTTTTTTCTCCATCAGATGACATATGAAGGCTATCACCTGTATCGTTTTCCCAAGACCCATTTCATCAGCTAAAATCCCATTTAAGGCATTTTCGTAGAGTGTCTTCAACCATTTCAAACCTATTTGCTGATAATCGCGCAAATCACCACAAAAGTATTTTGGTGTAATAGCTGCATTATCAGCAGGCACATTTGCTTCAGTGTCTGAATCTTCCGCCAACTTAACTTCTATTTCTTCTGTACTTAACATTTTTTTCCTTTTTACTTGTACTTTGTTTATCTGTAATTTGACCGAATTGAAATTTTTAGCCTTTATGCTCAAATGATATCGACTGTCGTAAACAGCAGAATTTTCTTAGTACTTACATCTGTCAAATATACTTGCATGTTGTACTTTCCTGAATCAACCTTGCTTAATTTCTTTGGTGGTACATTTTCATTGTTAACAAAGCGACGTTTCTTCTTTTTGGGAGATACTGCTTTACTTGGTTCCTTCCTTGGTTCATTTATCTTATCTTTTAGATAACTTGAATAAAATTTACTTTGATTCAGTAAGTGCATCAATCGTTTATATCGTTTCTCATGAAGTTCACGCTGATAATTTTCTTCCGCAAGCTGTTTGCGTTCTAATTCAACCGTTGAAATTGTGTTTTTTCTTTTTTGTTGCTTTTTCTCCTCTTTTTCTAAGGGTGCATTATTAAATTTCACATCAATGGCTAAAGTTGGTATACCTTATAAAAAAGAAAATAAAGTACAGATTATCATCAGTAAAGATTATATACAAAGACTATAGAGTAAAACTTATATAGTAAATTATTAACTAATGTAATCAATTATCACATGTAACTTTGGTTTACTTTTGCAGATGCAAGCAGTGACATGTAGTGACTAATAAAAGATGAAGCAAAGAGAGATGCCTGTTTGCAGTCGGCGAGATATGCCCGCTGATAAAGCAACAATGTCATGGACTTTTCCAAAATAGTTGAGAACTTTGTATCAAAAAGATGTATAAGATTTTTTTTATCAAAAGAAAGCAAGATACCTACCATCGATGTCAGTGACTTTATTCAAGTTGAAATTGTCTTTCGACTGAAAATTGGAAAAGTCATTCTCCTGGGCCCATCCTTCGGAATCTGCCATTATGCTTTAAAGTGCTCAATTATATTAACCAAATAATGAAACCTAGCCCGTAAATCATCAACTGTAAGTAGCGATCATGCGAGCGAAATCAAAGTGAAAACGTACATTTGACATTGACTAACGATTTCTGGCGGGATGTGCCGCATTGAAAGCCATGCGCAAATAAATTCCCGCCAAATGTCGCGTACGCGCAGTAACAATGCTAGCAGACGATCATTAAGCTACATTCACGTACTTGTATAAACGCATTATGTAATACACATAAAGAAATTAACCAATCATCATGTCTAGTGCAAATTTAAATTAGATACATGATTCTTGAAAGATGTCACAAAAACTATGAAGAAGGAGAAGAATCAATCAGTCATGTGTCTAATTTAAAGTACATTACATATTCTTACACTTGGACACGTGATTGATAAACTTTTGCAAATTTGTCCAGATGGATTTTATCCGATGGGTAATTATCCGATTGGTGGACAATTTTTTACATTTTAGCTGGCGGCATCGGTATTATGAGTTTTGCAACGCATGCGATGACGCAATATCATCCGATCTGTAACGGCGTTCGGATTGGTTCTGCCGCGGTGGTATGATCGTTTGTAATTTTTTAGTTATGTGCGTTTGACATATCGGTTCTGCTCGCGTGATCGCTACTTGCAATAGACGATTTACGGGTTTATTTAATGTAATTAAGTATTTAAAGCGATAGACAGAGCATATATAATGGCAGATCCCGGAGGATGGGCCCCGGCCCAGGAGAATGACTTTTCCAATTTTCAATCAAATGACAGTTTCAACTTGAATGAAGTCACTGGCATCGATGGTAGGTGTCTTGTTTTTTTTGATAAAAAAATCTTATACATCTTTTTTATACAAAATTCTCGACTGTTTGGAAAAGTCCGTGACATTGTTGCTTTATCAGCAGGCATATCTCGCCGATTGCAAAACAGGCATTCTCTTTTTGCCTCACCTTTTATTTGTCTGCATGTCATTGCATGCATCTGCAAAAGTAAACAAAAATTATATGTAATAATTGATTACATTAGTTAATAACGATGTATATTGTTTTAGCAATCAAATTTTATCGTACACAATGTTGTATAATTTTCTTAAATTTATAGTGCTGTCAAAAAATAAGAATTTTTGCTAGATTTTTAATTTTGGACTGCATCACACATGTGTACAAGTTGTTGAAGAGTGAAAAAGATTTTAACGTTTAATATTAATAAAAACTAATATTTAACTATACTGATACTTATCAATGTGTAATATTGCAGATCTCCTTACAAATTGTGAGAATGAGTTGTTGAAAACAGAACTTTTCAGCGATGAGGCCCTACTCTCTGAATTGGATGAACCTATGCCTATGGATGGAGATTTCAATTTCTTAAATCTTAATAACACTGACGAATTTAAGGATTTTAAGGATTTCAAAGATTCAACAATTCTTGAATCACCTAATACAAATGTTATGGTAACGCAACAAGCAGTGCCGGATAATAATCAGCCTGTTACTTATGTACAACAAGATGTCCCATCGGTACAACAAAATCGACCGCAGAGAATATCAGTGGCTTCAACAACACCTACGGTGTTTAGTTCACAATACACAATTCCACAAAATGTAAATTTCAATGTTCAATCACCGAACGTTGTAACCTTAGCTCCAGTTGCCCAACAACGACAACTACTTCTGCCAGCCAAATTGATAAAATCAGAATCTCTTGTATATTCGAAAGGCGCACAGTCCATTACGACAACTTCTGTTCCACATCAGATACATACTCTCGTGAATACTGCAAATGGGACGGTATTAACTACTGGTACATATATATATATATGTTCAGTTTATTTCCAAGAGATAGATTATTATTATATTAAAATATGAAAGATGTATGTAATTTATAATATCTATAAATTAATTATTGTATATGATAATTATAATTAATATGTTTGAATCAGGGATTCCTGTAGTGTTGGATACCGATAAGGTACAAATTAATCGTTTGAACACGGGCACGCATGTGGGTGTACCAAGAGTGAGAGAGGTGAAACGCAGCGCGCACAATGCTATCGAGCGGCGTTACAGGACGTCAATCAACGATAAAATAATCGAATTGAAAAACATTATAGTTGGAATCGACGCCAAGTTAAACAAGTCGGCAATTTTGCGTAAAACCATCGAATATATCAGGAAAGGATAATAAAATTAAAATTTTATCATTAACAAGAAGATTATCTTTTAATTTTTTTTTGTAATTAGATTTCTGCAGAATACTAATGCAAAATTGAAGGCTGAGAATTTGTCGCTGAAGATGGCTGCTCAACGGCAAAATCTTCGCGAGATGTTGGTCTGCGGAGAACTGACGCCTCCACGTTCAGATTCGAGCGAACCGTCCCTGTCACCACCACCGGCACCACTTTCACCACCGTCGCCGTCATCCGTGAAGGACGATTCGGACACACTGCAGAGTTTGCATCCTGTGCCAACTTCGTCCAACGGCGGCATGAGGGATCACACTCGATTAACGCTTTGTGGATTCATGTTGTTATTCTTGGCGTTCAACCCTCTTGGTATTCTCATCAACAATGTCGGGAGATTCAATTATGATTATTTAAATACAAAGTTGGACGGACGGACGATACTCAATTACCAAGGTAATTGTCAAGAAATTTTCCATGATTTCGATAAATCTGTTATAAATCGCTGTGTTTTTTTGTTCCCGGATTTAGATCAATCGGAATCGGACAAGCAGCTGTGGAGCAACATTATTCTTTGGTGTACCAATCTGATACTCTTGGCAGGCGGTCTTTGTCGATTGTTGCTGTATGGCGATCCCGTGTTACCCACCGACAGCAAGGTCTTCCTCGAGTTACGTCGCTGGAGACGTCAAGCCGAATTCAACATGTCTAAACACGAGTATAATCAGGCGTACCGAGATTTGCACCAGTGCCTGCAGTACTTTGGCCGATCCTTTCCGTTGTCACGTACGGAGATCTATCTTGCCACCACGTGGCAGATAGTGCGACAGGTTCTTCACAAATTATGGCTGGGAAGATGGATCATGCAGATCAGCAAGTGGCTGTCGGAGAAGTCGGAGCGACAGCAGGCAGAGATGTCCGCCGTTGAGATAGCCATCGTCTACCAGCACATGCTTTGCTTGCGCTTGTCCGAGGGAACGAAGGACTCCACGTTGTATCTCGCTCTCTGCGCCCTGAATTACGCGGAGGCCGCTGGCGAAAGTATACCGAAGCCGCTTTTGGCGGAGATATATGTGAATGCCGCGCTGTGTCTGAAGCAATCTTTCTTCCCGTACATACACAAATATTATCTGGGCAAAGCGCGTGTCCTGTTGTCCTCTTGCGCCGTTCCTGCGAAATTGAAGTGGATCATGACCGATGAGGGCGCGAGATTCTTGGCGTTGCAGAAGTGGCAATATAAGAAGCAGCCTGACAGCGAGTTCACTTCGCAGAACAGTAGAGCGGACCCGCTGTCGTACGCGGCTCGCGCATACAGGGATCATCTAATTGAGCAGTGCCTGCGCTTGCTGACCGGCACCGTCGGAGAGTGTCACGCGTCCTCGGTCCTCGAGTTGGGACGAATCATCATGGCCTCGGCGGAAGTGGACGCCTGTTTTGCGTGCACCGATCAAATCAACATAGCGAGTACGAGAAGACAGTATCTAAAATTGAACAAAAATTCTTTCAATTATTACGTAAAATTCCTCCATATTTACGTATTTAAGGGTGAATTCACAAATTAAAAATGTCAAGTTTGCACATTTTGAATTGAAAAGAAGAGGACTGCACTATCGTGCAGTGTAACTTGGTTCTCCATTTTATTTTTCCAGCGTGCGAGGATGAGATTGGATTATGGTGGGGCGCGGTGATTTGTGCTGCCGCAAGTTGGAGATTAGGCGAGGAAGACCCAAAGGCGTGGAGCATCGTTGAAAGCAAATTCCCGTATGAGAGAAATTTCCAAATCGGCGATAATAATAGCAGCAGCAGTCCGTTACCGCACGCTGTGCTCAATGTTCTGCAAGCTGCAAAGCATTCTACAAAGTTGATGTCCATGCGTTTCATCGATCAGGCGGGATTGCTGCTTGAGCAATCCATGGTGTACTATCATTGCAAGGAGCAATCGTCACAGCAAATCTTGGTAAATTATCAAAATATTTACGATGAATTTTTATTGCAAGTAATTGCTTTACCAATATGGCTTTTGTTAAACGTGAAAATAATTTGCTGAAACAAACAACTACAGTAGCGAAACTGTGTTAAACTTCACATTTTTGTGCTCGCCAAACGTACAGATAAAGTATTTACATACAAAAATATGAAGTATTTTACTTGTGTTAAAAGTATCAGTATATATTTTTGCGAAGGCAGCCAAAAACTTCAAGTTTTCATTAATCGAACCGTTAAACACTTAAGAGTTATTTCGTTTGTGTGCGTACGTTAAAGGTAACTTCTTTCAAGCGTAACCTGTGCTACCGTTTACCTGTTACAAGTGTGCATTGTAGTTGCATTGCATGAAATATAACTATGCAATACTCCTGCAGTGCAACTCCTGTGGCAGGTTGCAGCACCGTTATACAATAAATAATTTCATATATCTACTGTGTGAGTCGCGTATGTATCTATAAAAAGTTGCTTTAACCACACTAATCTCTATTACTCTGCTTATTTTTCAGCTTACACAGTTGTGGGTCTGTGACTGGCTTCTTGAGTTACGCACGACACTGTGGCAAGACCAGGATGTAGAATCAGAAAGATCTGTCGCAAGTATGTCCCTTGCAGGATTCCAGCGCGATTTGGCATGCTTGAGACAATTGTGTCAACATATCCCAGTAAGTGTAGATCTATGATTTTTCTTTTATTTCACGATTGTAATTTCAGTTAATGAAAATTCGTGCTGTAAATCGATAAAAGAAATTTTACCCTACAAGTTTAGTCTTTTTACAAAACATGTTTTCTTTGTTTCAGTCCGTATTGGCGCGCGTCTTCTTATACGAGGCTACAGCGCGCATTATGGCTGGTGCGACGCCGGTGAAGACTCAGATTTTGTTGGATCGAAGTCTGCATCACAGAAATTCACGATCCTCCATCATATGTGGAAAGGATCGGTCGCAAAAAGAGCAGAATAATAGCGAGAGAGAGCACGCAGTCGCGTTATGTCTCGCGTGCAGGCATTTGCCTACGTTGTTGTTAGCCTCGCCGGGAGAACGCGCCGGTATGCTTGCGGAGGCCGCTAAGACATTGGAACGGATAGGGGACAGAAAACGTCTTCAGGAATGTTATAAACTAATGCGGCAACTAGGCTCCGCAATCACTGTTAATTAACGTGTTGTGACACTTGGCATCCTTTATAACATTATATGATATATATGATAATGTTAATAATTGTATGTATGTGTGTGTAATATATATATATAT